AGAGAGAGAGAGAGAGAGAGAGAGAGAGAGAGAGAGAGAGAGAGATGGGGGGACGAAAAGGAGGGAGCCGGGGGTGTGGGGTGTTAAAGGCGCAAAATAGGGCCATGTAGGTACCCGTGTGGAGCGATGTTTTTTTCTTTCGTTCCCTTTCTTTGTTTTGTTTGTCTTTTGTTAAAGTGTGTGTGTATGTGAGAGAGAGAGAGAGAGAGAGAGAGAGAGAGAGAGAGAGAGAGAGAGAGAGAGAGAGAGAGAGAGAGAGAGAGCATCGGGCAGTTCCCGTCTTATTTGTTTTTGCGAGCGAAGCCGCAACAGGTCATCTAGTATTTATTATAGGCACAAGCAGAGCCGCTGCAGCAATGCTGCGGCCCAGTGGAGGGGATGAGAGAAAACGACAGAGGAGAGACAAGGGGGAAAATGGAGGGAGAGGGGGCGGGAAAGAGGAAGAGAAAAATTGCGCGCAGCTGAGCAAATGGGAAGGAAATGAACCACGTAATGAGAAGGCCAATAGTGAGAATGCCAATCTCACCGAAAATCGGCATGATCGAAGGAGAAGGCCTCAAAATGTTTCAGGATTGTTTGTTTATTGCTTTCTTTCTCTCTTTCCCTCGCGTTTCCAGATGAGACTTTTTCATATGCTGAGTGTGTCCCGAAAAAAATGTCGACTTATCGTTCGTTTGGTTGATTACTGGATCGATGCAGAGAAGATTAGCATGCCCCTCAGTCGACGACACGTATAAATTGCGCTCTTCAGTTCCTCCTCTGCGGTCACCTCGTTTCCACGAACCAATCTTTGATCAGGTTGATTGATTAACTGATCAGCTGCTTGGTTGCTTGGTTGACTGTTTTGGTTGATTGACTGGTTGGTAGATTGTGGCCTGTTCGAATCCGTCGAACTTGGAGCTTCTCCGGCCCCATCTTTTCCCACTTGTCTGTTATTTGTTTCCTCCCGCTTCTCCATTATCATCGACAAAATCAGCACGTGGCCAATAAATATTGCACCTCCCTCTGTGCTGTGATACATGCTCAGTCGAGCGATGTATGGGGAGCCAAGGATCCGCTAAGTGATGAAAAGGACTCGAATGGACAATGCAGTGTCAGCAAAGCATCAACAAGCAATGTACATCCAGATCATACTTGCAAGCGGACGCCGTCCGGGCGGTTCCGCACGTGCGGCAGACCGCCGGACCGGACCCGCGCGGCGCACGAATGTGCGCCCGACGACCAGTTACGCCCCACTCCAAAAAAAAAAAAAAAAAAGTGGCCCTGTCCGGTCCGGTCCGGGTCCGTCTGGTCCGGGGGGAGGGTGCCGCTCGCGGCAAAGGGGACCAGGCCGGACGCTCGTCCGGTCCGTCTGCTTGCAAGTATGATCCAGATACATATGGACAAAACGCTGGCTAGTCCTGTATAGGGAAAAATTCAGGCCAGTAAGGGAAAGCTGTGCCTGATTAGATCCCTGTCCCTCATCGTCATGAAGTTTCTACAGCAAACTCGAATAGAACACATGTGGTCCAGACGTATTGAAAGGGACCCATGCCTTCTATTCATTTAAAACGTGCTTGACGCTCACCCGGAGATGGTAGTGTGTAGGGGTCTATTATGTTTCACGTCATCGAAAGGGACGGCTATTGTTGTCCGGGAGGATTATAGGAGTGTTTTCCTGTTCTGTTTGTTCTGGGAATGGGTAGGTTGGACTTTTAACCTTTGGCCGGACAGACTGGGAGTGCTATTAAAAAAAAAAGAAAAACACTGAGTGCCATATGTCTCAGACCCTGTCCAGGCGAAGATGGTTTGAGCAGAGGCTTCGCTTTTGCTTTGGCCATACTGACACGAGGACCTTTTCAGACTTTCTTCTATAACTCTGGAGTCTGGACCTTTTCTTCTAAACTCTGGACACGTGGTTGTGGCTCATTTGGAGAACCTTTCAATGCTCCTTTTTTTCCTCTTTTTTTTTTTTTTTTTTTGGCTGCTGTCATCCCAGTTACTATTTACGGTGCGAGCCTGAGAGGAGTGGTAGCTGCGTTCTCAGCACGGGTTGTATTGGACCAGACTATACACTGCTTCGTACTCTTCTGAGAACACGGTTTACCATATGTCGCGCTCAGTCGTACCATATGTCGCGCTCTTCGTTTCTAGTGTGTATCTCCCTTTTTCTAGCGCTTTTACAATACATACAGTGCCGTAAAAGTTCAAATTAGGCAGGCCTCAGTTGTACCATATGTCGCACTCTTTGTTTCTAGTGCGTATCTCCACAGCATGCAGTGCAGGATCTCCACAGACTGATGCGGTTGCGCAGGGCACATTTGACATGGTTGTGGATGGCCTCAGTTGTACCATATGTCGCGCTCTTCGTTTCTAGTGTGTATCTCCACAGCAAGCAGTGCAGGATCTCCACAGACTGATGTGGTTGTGCGGGGCACATTTGACATGGTTGTGGATGGTCATGTCATCTTTCTGCCTTCACCTGATCGACTTGCCTGTTCTGACTGTGCTTCTCTGGGTACTGTTGCTCATGTCCTCCCAGGAGATGTGGCAAGGTGTAACCCTTCCAGCAGTGCCTTACGCCAACCTCCTGGGTGCTTAGGTTTGGCTTTAAAGTTTAAACCACCAGTGCACTTGGGCCTGCCGGCGCGGCACTGCATACCGAGCTTTGCCGAACCATCAGCGGCGCAATTCTTTTCTCTTTGGGCTGGTACTGCCAGCCATTGTGGTCTGGTAGGCTCCGTAGTTTTTGGAGTAGGTGATGACGCAAAGTCTTGCAAGGCTGGGGCTGTGTGCTGGCGGCTTAAGATCTGGAGGCTGTGCATCTCCGGGGAGTACATCTGCAACATCAGCCAGACTGTGTTTGAGGAGTAGAGGGTGTGGGAAGTAGTGAACGCACAGACTCGCGAGCGGACTCGGATGCAGAACTCAACCGAGACGATGAATGGATGCTCAGAGAAAAGTACCAGCTGTATCTCAATGTCGAACTCAACCCGTCAACTCTGAACCAGAGTACAGCACAAGTTGTCCCACCAGTGTGTGGGACCGCTAGTCTAAGATATACCTGGGAACAGCCTAATGGCTAGGCTGGTGGTCTCAGGCATATGTACAGAACAAGCTGGTACAAAGAGGGTCTTCGTGGAAAATTTTCAAACGCGAAATGCGGAGGTACCGAGGACATGCGACAAAAACAACTGTCTGGTACCCAGAATAGAAGGAGCTTGGTCGTCTTTCTCTTTTTTTTTTTTTTTTTTTTTTTTTTTAGTGGTTCTGGTACTCAGCATGAGGTCCCAGGGATCGATCTGTAGAACAGTGATATTGCAGATGTACTCCAGCAGCCTAAACCCAGACCTAAGACCAGGTTTACTTATCGCCATTATCGGTGCTCAGCGTTTGGTTTCTTGTAGGATCTAATGCGTAAGATATCGTGAACCCGTCTCCTGGGAGTACACATGCAACATCATCCGAAATGAAGTTGATGTTGCAGTAGGTGATTTTGCGGATGCTGATGTTGCATGTTGCGCGTGTAGAACTGCGATATCACCCAAATGGAACCTGCTCACCAGCTAAGCGTCATCGGGGGAAGCAAATTGCGGTGAAAATAGAAAAAGATCTTCGCGCTTGGCTTTTTGGGTCTTGTCAACATGAAATGTTTTCCCCGATGTACTCAAACCTAAGCTGGCTATATGACCGCGCGCTTAGGTTTGGATTTTGGATGCAAAGGGTTACGTGGGGTACATTTTGTTGTGGCAGAAGGAGAGGGTTGGAGTTGGATCCATAGGGTGGTGTACTGTGAAGAAAAACATGAACAAAAAGAAAAAACAAGAACAGGGACCACCTTTCTTTTGTGCAAAGCATGGAGGAAACAACTCCAGACAAATAAGTAGCATTGGTATGCCAACCATGAAACAATGCTAAAAAGTAGTGGAACTATGTCTCCTGAATTATTGAGCTTCCTCGTGCTCACTTGTTGATTGACATTCGTTGGTGGTACACGCTCAACTCATGAATGAGAGGGTAAATCACAAATTGTACAAAAGTGAATAGTTCATATGTTAGTTCGACTCGGTCAACATTGTCCACCTGTGAATACCACTTGAAAGATATCATACAACTCCGATCACACACACACACACACACACACACACACACACACACACACACACACACACACACACACACACACACAGAGAGAGAGAGAGAGAGAGAGAGAGAGAGAGATGGCTGAAAGTGCTTCCTGAACGTTCGTGCAGTTTTCACTCATTTCATGTCAGTTGATACTTTCATGTGCTTGTTTTTTGTCCTTCCCTGTTTGTCGAATCAAAGGAGTGGGGGAAGAGGAAATTAACGTGCATTACTGACAGCTTTCACTTGTTGTTCTTTTTCTTAAAAATTTCTTTTCCATTTCCTTCTTGCTGTTCTGCAAGCAGTGAGGGCCTCATGCTTCAACATGTTCGCGCCATTTGGGGAAGTGCATCTGTATTCTGGTTCTCTGTAGTAGCCAAATGTGTGGGAGGTAACCCACCTGCGTCGGCAGCTGGTGGTCCCACGGAATGTCTTGCTTGAAGACAGCCATGATCCTGCTTCCTGCCATCGGTCCGTCCTTCCTTACTCCCAGCTTTCTACTCAAAACTTTACGGGCATGCTGTGGGAATTTCGGCACGCACGTATTGCTATTGGAGTCGAAGCAGACCCGTTGTTTCCTTCGCCTTTAAGCCAAATATCTTCCCTACTTTTCTGACAAGAGAGAACACAAGACAACTGCCTAGTTCTGAGCACAGGTCAGTATCTGCAAAGAAGACGAGGTCACCGATAGGAGGCTAGGGCTATGTGTCTGTGCTTCTCTTTCTCCTGGAAGACATCCAGGATTTGCAGTGTCATTCAAATGTGTCTTTTATCTCCAGCCTGAGGGGTGATTTCCCGTTCTCCTTCGACGATTTCCTGTCCTTATGTACTTGATGTGCTTGTGCCCTTTTACTCGGCCATTTATGAATGAACAGAGGCTGGAACCTAGTTGGATCTCCGTAGTACTGCATAAGGGCGGCCTGACGCTTCCTTCAAACTGCTAGACCTTAGGTCTATGCAATCCAGGTGGAGTTGAGAAAAACACATTGCTACTCGAAAGTCCATGGGTGGCAAGAGCTAGAGCTGGTTGAATGAGGCACACTTCATGGCTGCGAAGAAAGGCTGGGAAGAAAACTTCCCAAGCGGATGGGTTCATTGCTCAAGGCGTAGAGCGATTAGCATCTTCGGTATGACATGAAGGAATGACTTTGTGGATATCAGGAGCAGCAGTTGCACAGCATGTGTCTCGGGAAACATTGTACCTTGTAATATTTTACATCTGAGTAAAAGGTTTGAGCTTTAACTTGTGGTATGTTGAGTATTTTGGCTTGGAAATTTTTCTTGTGTCGGAAGGTGTGCCGTTTCTTTCCATTTCTGTGTTTGGAGGTTCAGCGCATTGACGTTTCTTACACAGGTTCAGTGGTATATGTGTGCAGTCAAAGAATTGGGAGAAGCTTGTCGTATCCACACGTGCCTCGAGTGCAATGAGTAGGACTCTGTGTGTGTGTGTGTGTGTGTGTGTGTATGTTGCTGCTCCTCTCTCTCTCTCTCTGTGTGTGTGTGTGTGTGTGTGTGTTCCTCATTCTCTCTCTCTCGCTCTCCTGCCTTTCTCTCTCTGCCTTTCCCTCTCTGCCTCTCTCTCTGCCT